TGACCTGTGTCATAAATTAGTCTTGCTGAGCATCCAGCTTGTCATATTAGACTTTGCACAGTGATAAATTTAATATGCCATGTTAAATTTATGCTTATATGTTCCTTTATGCTCTCTGTTCCAAGCCCTCCTTTTAGATTCCATTTAGACTTCTCTTTTCATATATATTCTTTTTTATCCCCTCTTTCTCTTCCTTTTTCTCTCTCTCTCCCCCTGTCCCTCTCCCTCCCTCCTGTTATCACATCAGATTTTATTATTCTTAGGAGCTGAAAATGCTTGATAAGGTTCAAAAGCCTCTGGATCTTTTTTTTTTTTTAATTGAAAATTTTTAAAATTTTTACAAATAGAGAAAAAAAAAAAAACAACCCTACCCAACCCACCCCAACCCTCCCACTCCATCCCCCCAACCTTCCCAGAGCTGAATATAGGCTTAGTTAGAATTTCTAAAAATCTTTAAAAAAGTTAAAAAAGTATAAACCATAAGTATATCTAAATACATTACATAAACAACTTATAAAGTAATTAACAATAATATATATGTAAAAAAAAGCATAAATATTAAAAAAGAAAAATGCTTAAAGAGAAAAAGAATAAAAAAGAAAAGAAAGAAGAAAAGAGATATATAAAAAAATAAAAATAAAATAAAAATAAGAAATATAAGGAAAGAGAAGAAAAAAAAGATACAATCTATAAAATATTAAGATTTATATATAAGTTATTGAAAAACTAAGTAATATTTTTATATCCAATTTATGTTGTATAAAATCTATCCATTTTTCCCATACCGCAAAAAACTTCTCTTGCGATTGATCCTTTAAGAAAGCCGAAATCTTTGCCATTTCCGCCAAATAAGAAACTTTAAAAAACCACTCTTGCAAGGTAGGCAAAGATTCCTTCTTCCAGTATTGCCCTACTAACAACCTTGCAGCTGTGATTAAATTTAACATCAATATAACCTCCTTAGCATCACAATCAGTAACAATACCTAACAAAAACAATTGTGGGGTAAATTTTACCCTCCTTCTGAAAATTCTTTGAATATTCCACCATATCTTAATCCAAAAGGCTTTTATATTTTTACACGACCACCGAATATGATAATAAGTAGCATCCAAACAACCACATCTCCAACATTTAGGCTGTAAGTCAGGATACATACAAGACATTTTTTGTGGATCAAGGTGCCATCTATAAAACATTTTGTAAAAATTCTCCCTTAAGTTCTGGGCTTGTGTAAATTTAACATTCCTCACCCAGATGGTTTCCCGGGTATCTAGTAGAACTGGTTCACCAAAATTTTGTGCCCATTTGATCATACATTCTTTAATTAGTTCTGGTTCTGAATCCAGTTCTACTAGCAACCCGTAAATTCTCTTAATGTGAGTTCGCCTTTGGTCTTTTACTTGTTTAAAAAGGTTTTCATTTTCTCTAAGCAAGCCCATATTACGATCCATCTTCCATCTATCCGCTATTTGTCTATACTGAAACCATGAATATGTAATATTTTCATGTGCTAAATCTTCCAAAGATTTTAACTGCCAATTTTTACCATCCCATCTGAGTAATTGTGCATAAGAAACACTATCCATCTTAACTCCTCTCCTTATCCCCTCTATCGCATGCCAATGTATAGCCCATAATGGTATTTTAAAATCACTTCTATAATATTTCCTCCAAACCCGAAGTAAAGAAATCCTTATAATATGAGATTTACAAACCCGGTCAACTTTTTTATTAAAAATTAAATAGGCATGCATGCCATCCAAAAAGTAAATCCCAACCCTCCAAATGGAGTATTTCTACATTTGTTAAATTAACCCAGTCACTAAATAATGTTAAAGCCAAAAGGCCTCTGGATCTTTGAGAGGACCATACTACAATGCAAACTCTTGGTGACTACGGTATTCTGATGCCTTTTGGGAATAAAAGGGGACATTAATAAGAGGGAATGGAAGGGAAGAACATGGAAGAATTGATGGCTAGCTGCTGAAAAAGTTCATTACAGAGAGTGTGTTGTTATTATTATTATTATTATTCTCTAAAAATGTTTTTTTGTCTTTTGGGACATGTCTCATATTTACAACCAAAATGCCAGATGGCAAAAGAGGGGCAATGGCGAGGGATAACAATTTATGTCATGCTTAAGACTTAAGTGTGGAACACTAATCAAGGATATCATTCATTTATTTTATCTATGTATCAGACTTAACTGCCTGTCTCCCTCACAGAGGGGTCTGAGCAGTGTACACATTCATCAGTACAATAAAATATTAAAAACCGTATAATTTAAGATTAAAAATGTAAAACACTATAAATTTATTGATATTAACAATTGATTGAACTTGAATATGCAAAATACAAAGTAGAATTATTGAAACCGACACTAATAATGGAATACCCAGATTAATCAGACCGCACAAAATCTAATATAGAACGAATGAATTCAAGCAAAATTAACCAATCCTCTTAGATATACACAATGTTATTTCATTTGTTGTAAACTTCCATACTGCAGTTACCACTTTTCTGTTAAAAGGTCAGATATGAATTCTCTCCATATTTGTACTGTTAATTGAAGATAGATCAATTTTATTAAAAACATGCCCTGCCTTCTATGATGTCCCATTCTTGTGATTAAAGAAACAAAAAGGTGCTTTAATGGGTTTTTCTCTTTGTTTAGGAGCCATTCCACAATTTCATTTTGTTTTGAAGTTGTTTTCCCCTTTAAAGTCATATTTTGCAACAGTAGAGTTTCCGAGTGGTGAGCAAGCTTTCACATTCACCAGAGATCCTGAGGATAGGGTGCTTCTCCCAAGGGTTGTGTTTGTGACACTCAGAACTATAAACAGCGGGGAATTTGAATGAAGACTCAATTAGGAGGAGAGCCATATGAGTCTCTGGTAGCCAAAAATCGGAAGGCATCCAATAGCAGCTTCTCAGTCTACCATATTTTATAAAGAGGCATATATCTGTGTCAGCTATGCATTCTAATACAATTGGTTAGAAAGAAAAGATGGTAGCAGAATCCTGACATATCTCAGAAGGGGTAAAAATTAATTGATCTCTTATTCACTATTTTTTTCGTAGTGCTGTATATTTCATTACATTAAAATTTTTGACTGTCAAAAATGAATGCTTCACTCAAAGCACAGTGACACACTTTGCATGCAAATGCATAGCAGTACACATTTTATAATCCTTTAAATGTTTCTAAAGTTTATCAATTTCTTCTACCATATATAGTCACCCTCTCTTCTTAAGTGCATTTTTCTGGGTGGGTCCTGCTGTGTGTCTTGATTTGATGTAAGGGAGATTTCTGGGCAAGGAATTTTACCGAAGCAGATGACACTTAGCAGATTTAAAATCTCCTTCACTAACAAAGCAGGCTTGTTGGGAATAGCAGATTCAAGAGGCTCTGTGCACTTGGATGCCATCTCTCATCTGTACAAGTGAAGGTGGCACTTTTGGGACCTCTGCCTTGCCTTGTCCTAAATCCATGGGAGCCCCAGGAAATCAGTCAAAGTTTTTGGGGTGTAGAGAGTTTTTGATCTCTCCTGAGAATCAGCCCTGCGAAAGGACAGGAATTTTTAAGTGAGTTTTTTGCAAACTACTTCCAAGTCTTTTGCCCAAGCTGTTTGGGAGCAATAAGGCTGAAAACTAACTCCTCTAGGGATTGGGAAGGCTGCTCAGAGCAATTCTGCCCTCTGGTGAAATTTAGGCTTCCCAATAATAGAGATAGGAAGATCAGATGTATCTCCTATCTAGAAGTAGTTTAGTGGCAATGCTTGTGGAAGCTTCCAGATTTGTCCCACGTTTCATTATTAATTGGGTGAAGCTGCAATCATTTTAAAGGCTGTACACAAACACAAAACCTTCATGAACGTCTAGAGTCCAACACCTGGCTAATCTTTTTGTGCCTTATCTGATATCGGACGTTGGCGATCATGTTGGCGATCCTGTTTTTATCAGCAGCCGCACGAAAAAGTGCTGCTGAGTTTTGTCCAAACCAGTCCCTTAGAATAGATTTTGAAGCCACAATGTTCTTCTTCTGCCTGGACCTTGTTTGCCTTCAATCTTTCCCTGGAGGATTAAATGGAGTGTGCTGTATTTTTCTGGTGTCGCATCACATGTCCGAAATGTTCTAATTTTCTTTTTTTAATTGTTTTGATGATTTCTCTTGGCTTTCCCAGGCGGCTTATCCCCTCCTCATTTCTGATCTTCTCAACCCAGCTTATACGTAACAGCCGCCTGTAAATCCACATTTCAAATGCTCCTAGTCAATTCAGGTGGCCTTCTGTCAGAGACCAACTCTCTATTCCAGGGGTAGAGAGGTTCTCAACGTTGGCAACTTTAAGACTTGTGGACTTCAAGCTGGCTGAGGAATTCTGGGAGTTGAAGTCCACAAGTCTTAAAGTTGCCAAGGTTGAGAACCCCTGCAAGTCTACTCCATAGAGCAGGATAGAAAAATATAGCATCTGACATCTAATCTTACAAAGTTAAATATGGTCAAGCTTCTCTCTTCAAGCTTCCCTCAGTTGCAAAAATGGGTTTTGAGGAGTTATCCTGCATACCCCCCCAAGATGAAGAACTGGCTGGAACTGACTTCACCGATCCCCGAGGAAGGTGCACTTTAACATTGCCTGTTTTTCCAATGGTTCCTCCCCTCTCAAGGATGCTTTCCTTGATTTGCCTAAAGGTGCTTTTTCAAAAGGCAACTGGACTTGCTTTGTATTTGCTTGAAGACGTTTTGCTTCTCATCCGCGAAGCTTCCTCGGTAACTGAAGAAGCTTTGGATGAGAAGCGAAACATTTTCAAGCAAAAAACAGAAAGCCCTGTTGCCTTTTGCAAAAGACCTGGATGACTGAGAATCTCCATAGACATTCCCTTGATTTAGTTCTCACTTCTTGCAAAGGGATACATAGATCCTCCTAGAGCAGGGGTAGGCAACCTTGGCTCTTTTATGACTCGTGGACTTCAACTCCCAGAATTCCTGGCTGGCTCAGGAATTCTGGGAGTTCACGAGTCATAAAAGAGCCAAGGTTGCCTACCCTTGCCCTGGAGAGAAAAGGTCGGTAAATGTCGATCAAAAAGAAAAAAAAAACCGGGCAAACGCCTCAGGATGGAGATCGGACAAGCGTGTTTTTCAGCCTTATGCCGCTCGATGGCGCTCTAAAGATCAACAAGAGCCGCCACTAGAAAAGAGCATTAGATTGCTAGAGAGGACGTCGGAGGAGAGGAGAAGCGTAGAGGAACTTCCTCTTCCGGCTCACCCATGGGAGGATAGACGCGTGGAGGGCGGTTCTCGTGCTCTTCCCGGGGTCGAAGCAGCAACTGGAAGGTGAGTGGAAGGAAGGTGCGGAGGAGAGGCCGGGAGCTAGTAGCGGGGCTGCCTCGGGTGCAGCTTATTCTTTTCTTCCCCAATTTTTAATCCAGTAGCACTGCACGCTTGAAAAGTGTGTGCCTTTAAAAGTGGTACCTTCAATCTTCTGCTGGTTGGGAGATTTAAATAGTCTCCTTCCTTTTAGGGTTGACTCCTTGTGCTTTTTATGAGCGTGTTGTTTTCTTTGCAAATGAGGAGGGAGCTTCATGGGAAAACGGGGGGCTGTAAATCCTGCAGAGGCTTTGGGCACCATTTCCTCTGTTAAAGCCCCCCCCATATCTTTAAAATTAGACAATTTTTCAGGCCGAAATACACATGAATTGTAACATACGTACCTTTATATTTCTGTTTGTCTTCGTGTATTTGTAAACTGTCTTCGGCATTTCCAGGTATATTTGATAATAATGATTTCAGTGCTAAGAATTTGTGATTTTCCTTGGATCTTGCTAGTCATTTATTTGTGAAATGAAAATTAATGTCGGAGGTTAATCTAGACTTTTGGACTTTGGTTTGTTTTTTTTAAGGATTTTATTAAATTTCAGTAAATAGGGGAAGAACAAGGAATGTTTAAAAATGGACATAAGTAATGAAAAAAACAAAGACCAAAAGTAACATTTTAAAAATGATTCCTTCCAACTCTTTTCAAGATACGGATATATAAAAGTACACTTTTGCTTTCGATAACACAATAAAGTAAAGCTAAAAGCAAAGATATATATACTAATCAGATAACAAAAGGAAAATACATCTCAATCTAAATAAAGTATATAGCCCATAAATGCATCATATTATCAATTCAGAAAACATGTGTAAATAAAACATTTCTTTAAAACAATGAATAGATATGTTTAGACATATCTAAATAAAACATAGCCAATGCATCATATTATCAATTCAAAAATACACATATTACTAGATTCTTCTACAGTAAAAATTCTGTAATAAAACATCCTCTGCTTTAAAATTAGACAAATACATAAACCTAAAAATGTATATCTGTTAAACTCCCAAATGTTGCACAATATTTCTATTATCAAAACATACCAATATCTTTGGTAAGATATCCGCTTTGGCTATCCCATTAGCTAAGTTCTTTGAAAGCCATATTCTAGCAATTCTTGAAAATGATTTATGCTTTTCTGAGAAGAGTGTATTTTCGCTTTCAGAGTTAGTTTTGTGTCTTCAAGAATCTTATCAGTGCCAAATTCTCTTGTCAACCCAAAGACAGATTTGGAAGTTGCTCTGGTTTGGCTTGATTTCTTAGATCAATGTCTAAGAGATTATTATATCATTTTAATCCTCCAACATATGCTAATTCTGATATTTAAAAAAAAGACAACATTTTTTTTCATCATGTGACACACAAAGTCCAATAATGATAGATTTAATCCTTTGGGTCACAGTTTCCATGGCCACATATCTACCAGCTGATTAACAGGATAGAGTTGGAAGAGACCTTGGAGGTCTTCTATCTGGTCCATCCCCCTGGCTCAAGCAGGAGATCCTATACTAGACAGATGGCTGTCCAGTCTCTTCTTAAAAACCTCCAATGATGGAGCACTCACAAATTTTGGAGGCAAGCCGTTTCACTGATTAATATTTCTCACTGTCGGGAAATTTTTCTTTCTTTCTAGGTTAGAGCTCTCCTTGATTATTTTCTATCAATTATTTCTCGTCCTGCCTTCAGGTACTTTGGAGAATGGTCGATCCCCTCTTCTTTGTGGCAACCTCTCAGGTTTTGGAACACTGCTATCGTGTCACCTCTAGTCCTTCTTTTCATTAAACTAGACATACTCATTTCCTGCAACCACTCATATTTTAGCCTCCAGCCCTCTAAATCATTCTCATCATCATCATAAGAATAATAAAGTTGGAAGGAACCTTGGAGGTCATCTAGTCCAACCCTCTTGTTCAGGCAGGAAACCCTATAGCATTTCAGACAAATGGCTGGCCGGTCTCTTAAAAACTTCCAGTGTTGAAGCATTGACCGCTTCTGGAGGCAGGTTGTTCCACTGGTTAATTGTTCTAACTGTGAGGAAGTTTCTCCTTAGTTCTAGGTTGCTTCTCTCCTTGATTAGTTTCCACCCGTTGCTTCTTGTCCTGCCTTCAGGCACTTTGGAAAATAGCTTGACTCCCTCTTCTTTGGGGCAGCCCCTGAGATATTGGAACACTGCTATCATGTCCCCCCTCAGCCTTCTCTTCATTAAACTAGACATACCCAATCATGTTTGTTTCTCTTCTCTGCACTCTTTCTAGAGTTTCAACATTGTTTTTTATCATAGTGACCAAAACTCGGTACAGTATTCTAAGTGTGGTCTGATCAAAGCTCTATAAAGCGGCACTATCACTCCATATCACCTTGATGCTGTCTCTCCTTTGATGCAACCCAGGACAGCATTGGGGGGGTGGTGGCAGTTGCAGCACATTGCTGATGGCCATTAAATGAGGCAGCGCCCCTAAACACCTCCCCCCCCTTTGTTCTCCCTGATGTAACCGTTTAACAAATGGGATTATTAAGGGTGCCTTAGATGGGGCAGCCCTGGGATGCCTAGCACAGTGTCAGGCTGGCTTGCCCTGGGCCTCCTAAGGTTACTCCCACTCTTGAGGCACTCCATACTCCACTTCTGTCCCCTTGGGGCCCCTGCAATATATGAGGGGCTGTCACAGAGAGAAGGGAATCAACTTTTCCAAAATGCCCGAAAGCCAGACAAGAAAGAATGGATGGAAACTAATCAAGGAGAGATTCAAACTAGAAATAAGGAGAAATTTTCTGACAGTGAGAACAATCAACCAATGAAACAGCTTGCTTTCAGAAATTGCAGGTGCTTCATTACTGGAAGCTTTAAAGAAGAGACTAGACAGCCACTTGTGAGAAATAGTATAGGGTCTCCTGCTTGATCATGGGGGTCCCATCCGACTCTGTTATTCCGAAAGTTGTACAAGCAAATGACTGTGGGGATGGTACGGCGGCCATAACTTTGAAACTAGTTCATAAATAGCTGGGGGAGGGGCTGGTATAACTTTGAATTGTTGCTAAGTGATCCAGCATAAGTTGAGGACTACCTGTTAGCTAATTGAAGCAAAGGGTATCCAATCCATATAAAGGAAGATCAGCAAAAATAAACATTCCCTCAGAGTATTAAGCAAAAAATAATAATGAATTCCATAATTCCAAACAGTTTGAGCAAATATGTACAAAATATTAAGGTTTCTTTTTAAAAGCATATAGTTCAATTCCCAACAGCAGCCACAAAAAGATCCTTTAAAATTTACTTTGTTTTCTTTGCTGATAGTCCAATCCACCATCCAAAGTAACGGTAATAAAAGTTATTAATAATTAATAAATAAGTCCGGAAATATTAAAATCTCCAAGAAAAAAAATAGCTCGTATCAAAAGAGAGCCTTTCTTAAAGAACAAATGAGTACCAAAAAAAAAACCCTGTTAAGAAATGAGGAAGTCTAAGTTAATTGCCCCATTAGAACTGTGTTACAGCATTGCAAGAGAGATCTCCCTACCTCTTAGTTGGTCACACACCAAACAGTGGGAAAAACCACTTCCACAATATACTTGCCCATACTGATTGTCCAAAGGACAAATTGAGTGATTCCTGGATTGCTTCTTGATTGTAATGTATGCTTTTTTTCCTTGGGGTTTTCATTTGTTGTGCACCGATTTTATATAGAATCGTTACACTAACCTTTTTTTGTGAATCTTTTAGATGAAGAGGATGCCAAGAACAACATTCTGGACAAGTGAGAATCAAAAAGAGCATTAAAGGAGAAAGCAAATCCAGCCAGTGATCAAACTTTTTTTACCTTCTTCTCCAGAAAAAAACGAAGCACTCCACGAAAAGGTCAAGGGGGGGATCATATCCAAATTCAGAAAAAAAGATGGAAATATCTGGAAATCAGTGGGGAGGCAGCTTTCACATGGATAGCCACATAGGGCAGGCAGTCATGCAAGCTTTGCCCTTTGAAGATGAACAAAAGAGTATTTTGAATCAAAGCACTGTGCAAGAAAAGATTGAAAATATTTTTGATCTTCCAAATCCAGGAATATTAGTGGTGGAAAAGCCCAGCAGATCTACATACGAGAAAAGCATAGATTGCAGATCACAACTGATTACGCCTGAAGGGATGCACACCGGAGAGAAACCTAATGAATGTTCTGAGTGTGGAAAGCTATTTTGCTACGGCTCCCATCCTTTTGAGGATAATAGGACCTACAACGAGGGGAATCCATACCAGTGCTCTGAATGTGATAAGAGTTTTCACAAGAACACACCCCTAATGATACACCATAAGACACACACAGGAGGGAAACCATATGAGTGTATGGATTGTGGGAAGCATTTTACTTACAATTCCCACCTGGTGAAACACCAGAGAACTCACACCGGGGAGAAACCTTATGAGTGTCCAGATTGTAGGAAAAGGTTCCGTACTAATTCACACCTGGTGGCGCACAAGAGGATTCACACAGGGGAGAAACCATATCAGTGTCTGGATTGTGGGAAAAGTTTCAGTCGGAATTCCCAACTAGTAATCCACCGGAGGACACACACAGGAGAGAATCTATATGAGTGTCTGGACTGTGGGAAAAGTTTCAGTCAGAATTCCCATCTGGTGGTACACCAGAGGACACACACAGGAGAGAAACCGTATGAATGTCCATATTGTGGGAAACATTTCAGTTACAGTTCCAACCTGGCAGCACACCAGAGGATTCACACCGGAGAGAAATCGAATGAGTGTCCGGATTGTGGGAAAAGTTTCAGTCGGAATTCCTACCTCGTGATACACCACAGGACTCATACTGGGGAGAAACCGTATGAGTGTCCAGATTGTGGAAAAAGTTTTATTCACAGTTCTGAACTGGTGAGACACCAGAGGACGCACACGGGAGAGAAACCATATGAATGTCCAGACTGCGGGAAAACTTTCAGTCAGAGTTCCAGCCTGGTGTCACACAAGAGAACTCACACTGGGGAAAAACCATTTGAGTGTCCAGATTGTGGGAAAACTTTCAGTCAGAGTTGTTACCTGGTTATACATGAGAGGACTCACACAGGGGAGAAACCATATGAGTGTCTATATTGTGGGAAAAGTTTCATTCGGAATTACTCCTTAGTGATACACCAGAGGACTCACACAGGGGAGAAACCGTACGAGTGTATTGATTGTGGGAAAAGTTTCCGTCTTAATTCCCACCTGGTTGTCCATCAGAGGACTCATTCTGAGAAGAAACCATATGAGTGTCAGGATTGTGGGGAAAGTTTCACTCAGAATTGCCTTTTGGTGTACCACCAAAGGCGACACACAGGAGAGAAACCTTATGAGTGCCCAGATTGTGGGAAAAGTTTCAGTAACAATTCCCACCTGGTGGTGCACCAGAGTATTCACACAGGAGAGAAACCGTATGAGTGCCAGGATTGTGGCAAAACTTTTAGTCGCAATTCTCACCTGCTGATACATCAGAGGTCTCACACAGGAGAGAAACCGTATGTGTGTCAGGAGTGTGGGAAAACTTTCAGTCGGAATTCCCACATGGTGATACACCAAAGGACTCACACGGGAGAGAAACCATACGAGTGTCCTGATTGTGGGAAAGGGTTCGCCACTAAGTCTAAACTTGTAATTCATGTAGCTTTACACATTGGGGAGAAACCTTTCAAATGCCCAGAGTGTGGACGTTGCTTCACACAAAATTCCTCCCTTACTGCACACAAGAAAATCCACATGAGGCAGAAAGCGATGAGTCTAGAAAAGTCTTGAATTTCATCTCTGACCTGTCTTTAGAAGCAAGGGAGATCTAGAGAGGCCCAGCAGAAGCATGAGCTCACCTGCTTCAGACTTTCCCCAAGATACACAGCCAGTGGCATAGCTGTCTTGCCAATGAGAATCAGCGGGGAAGGAAAACTATTATGCCTGCCTTTCCTAATTCTGCCCCTGCCCTTCCTGCTCCCAAGGTGCCCTGCCTTTCTGGGACAAAAAAGGAACCATTTTCCTCAGCTTTTGGGAGCTTTCCCCACTAATCAGGAGTCCACCCATTAGCCGTCCATGGGGATGCTGCAAAGCTCCCCTGCCTCTAGGCCAGGGGTAGGCAACGGCTCTTTTATGACTGTGGACTTCAACTCCCAGAATTCCTGAGCCAGCCATGCTGAGGGGAAAGGGAGAGGTTTCCAAGCTGAGCCATGCTGGCTCAGGAATTCTGGAAGTTGAAGTCCACGCGTCACAAAAGAGCCAAGGTTGCTTACCCCTGCTCTAGGCTTTGCGAAGGGGGCCTTGCTGAAAGGGCAGTTTCAGGACAAGCTTCCCAAACCTTTCCCATTCTTAACACCCCCCTCCTTCCCTCAAAAAAACACATTTCTTCAATAAAAAAAAAAAAACAAAATAGAAAAAAACTGGGAAGGGTGGATGTTGATCTTCACTCATCTTTGTCCCAGTTAAGTGCTAAAATAAATTCTTCCTCTGCCCTCTAAACCAGTGGTTCTCAACCTTTTTAATGCCGTGACCCCCCCCAACTGGTCATAAGTCGAGGACTAAACCCGTCATAAGTTGAGGACTAAACATGTCATAAGTCGAGGACTACCCAACCGGTCGTAAGTCGAGGACTTTCCCTGCCCGGGAGTGCAGCGCATGCATGGTGCCACCCCCTGCGCCGGCCAAGGCGTAGCTGGCAAGTGGCAGAGACAGAGCAGGCTGACCACCAGCTGGCCCAGCCCAAGGGAGGTAAGGCACCCGCTGGAAAAGGGGGAAAAAATGGCGGACAGCCTTGCTTGGCGACCCCCATAAAATGGTCGATGGACCCCAAATGGGGTCGCGACCCATAGGTTGAGAACCGCTGCTCTAAACAATATCCTTTTAAAAAAAAAACTTTACTTTGATTCCAGGCTAAAGAGTGGAAGAATGAAGCCAACAAGGAGAGAAAATCCCCAGCTTTTTTCTCCTGAAGTTAAAAAAAAAAAAAAAAATTGTGCCAGAAAATGGAGGACACTGGGTCTTTGCAAGCTTAAGCTGTCTGACTGTAAAGTCCAGCTAGGACTTAAAGTAAAATAATGTGGCTTTCTGAGGGAAATGGGGGGTGGTGGAATTAAGGAAGGGAAAGGGTTGGGAAGCTTGTCCTGCCTTTTGTGAGCATAAATTAGTCTCAAGAAGTATTCAGTTTATCATGCTAGGCTTTGGGCAGTGATAGATTTTAATCTGCTACATACTAACCTTTATGTTCCCTAAACCCATCTCGTGTTCTTTTAGATTCATTTAAACTATTTTTTATGTATGCATTCTCTTTTATATCTTTTCATTTTCTATAATAAATGTTATTTTAACAATTATTTAGATTATTTTCTTTTTAATTAAATGTACCCAGAAATCCTTATGCTGGTCTTTTGATTTGATTTCACCAGGTTATATAGTACTTCCCCCCACCCCCAGTAGATCACATTGCATATGAATTCTTTGCAGGACCAGGCCAGGGGTGAGGAGCCAAAAGGTTCTTGAAACTAGGTGGTTTCAAATTTAAACGTGTGCAAAAGTTTTTAAATTTTAAAAGAATCAAATTACATTTAATTTTCTCTCTTTTGATGCCATTTTTTGGAGGTGCACCATTATCATAATATATTTAGGAGATGAAAATTCTTGAAATGATTCAAAAGCCTCTGGATCTTTGAGAGAACCATACCATAATGCAAACTGTTAGTAACTATGGTATTCTGATATCTTTGGGAAATAAAATGGGCTATTAGGACAGAAGGAATGGAAAGGAAGAACTTTGCTAACCCTATCCTTTTTACAACCATTTAAAATGTTTCTGTGAACCGTTTATTAGTGTATTTTATCAAATTTAAACAGTCCCACCTTCTTTCTAAGCCCTCTTTTTTTACTCCCTGCTAGTATGTGTATCTCTCACTTTGACCTAGTAGAGACTTTTGTGCAAGGAAATTTAAAGAAGATGGCATTTAGCATTGTGGTGCCCCATCACTGGAGGCTTAGAAAGAAAAGACCAGACAGCCATTTGTCTGAAATGGTATAGCCTCTCCTGCTTGAGCAGGGGGTTGATTAGATGACCTCCAAGGTCCCTTCCAACTCTGTTATTCTGTGTTCTATCTAGGAGATTTAAAATATTCAGGAACAAAGGTGGCTTGCTGAGAGCACCAGGTTCAGGACATTGGGTGTGCTTGGATACAGCTATGGCCAGCACGAATGAAGTCTCTGGCCTGCTGGTGCTCCCAAGCTGGTTCCTCTTGTGAGCCACAGAAAATCTGTCATGAAGTTTTGGGATATGTAGAAAGGTTTTAGTCTCCACTGGAAAAGACAAGAGTCTTTGAATCAGTTTTCTGCAAACTAGTTTCTTTCAAGTCTCTTTATCAACTTGTTTGAGAATAATAAGGCTGAAGTCTAACTCCTCTAGAGATTGAGAAGGCTCCTCGGAGCAATTCTGCCTCGGAGCAAGATTTAGCCTCCTCAATAATGCAGATAGCAAGATCATAGGATAGGTGGTACCTTGTTCAGTAGTAGTAACTGTGAGAGAGATTTTGAAGTCCCAGTGGATAATCACTTAAATATGAGCCAGCAGTGTGCTGCAGCTGCCAAAAAGCTGCCAAAAAAGCCAACACAGTGCTAGGTTGCATTAACAGAGGAATAGAATCAAGATCACGTGAAGTGTTAATACCACTTTACAATGCCTTGGTAAAGCCACAGTTGGAATACTACATCCAGTTTTGGTCACCATGATGTAAAAAAGATGTTGAGACTCTAGAAAGAGTACAGAGAAGAACAACAAAGATGATTAGGGGACCGGAGGCTAAAACATATAAGGAATGGTTGCTGGAATTGGGTAGTCTAGCTTAATGAAAAGAAGGACTATGGGTGACATGATAGCAGTGTTCCAATATCTCAGAGGTTGCCACAAAGAAGAGGGAGTCAAGCTATTCTCCAAAGCACTTGAAGGCAGGACAAGAAGCAAAGGATGGAAACTAATCAGACACAGAAGCAACCAAGAACTAAGGAGAAATTTCCTGACAGAACGATTAATCAGTGGAACCACCTGCCTGCAGAAGCGGTGAATGCTCCAACACTGGAAGTTTTTAAGAAGAGATTGGATAGCCATTTGTCTGAAATGGTATAGGGTTTCCTGCCTGAGCAGGGGGTTGGACTAGATGACCTCCAATATCCCTTCCAACTCTATTATTGTTATAGAAGCGAAACAGCTTCAAAGAAAAAAAACAAGGAGAGAGTGCTCCTAATCTCAGCTTGTTATCTGTATAAAAGACATCTGGGAGCCAGAAATCTTGCTGATTGACAGGGGATCAAATACTTATTTCACTCATTAAAATGCAAATCAATTTTTCACTTTTTTGAAATGCGTTTTTCTGGATTTTTTTTGTTGTTATTCTGTCTGCCACTATTACGCCTACCATTAAAATTGTAGACTGATCTTTTTTTTTCAATGGGAAAATGTACAAAATCAGCAGGGGATCAAATAATTTTTCCCCTCACTGTATACCTATACTCTTTTATACCTTTACCTATACTTATATATTTTAGCTTTTTATAATAATTATTTTTAGACTCTGATTACTTTCTGTACTATTTTAACTGAATGTACGCCATGTTTCTTATGCTGGTCTTTCACTGTAATAAATATTTGATTTGATCAGGTTGCATAGAATTTTTTTTCCCTAATAGGTTACATTATGAAACCTTTACAGAAGGATGCCCAACAATCCAGACAACCCAGAGGTTTATTTGGCCTGAGCCTCAAGTGCCAAGTGACTTCAAATGTAAACAGACCTTCTTAGTAAAAACAATGTTAGTAACTAAAACTTCTTAGTAAAAACAATCTTCTGTTAGATAGGAGGAAGGGGAGAAGTAAGTAGGAAGGTTGAGGAGAAGGAGGAGAGGGGGAGAGTGAGGAAGAAGAGGGAAAGAGGGAAGTGAGAGGTTAGAGCAGTGGTTCTCAACCTTTTTAATGCTGCGACTCCCAACCAGTCATAAGTCGAGGACTACTCAACCAGTCGTAAGTCAAGGACTACTCAACTGGTGCAGCACCGTTTGCAGAATGGGACTTTTGGCGGGCTCAGCAGGGCAGAGACAGCCTGGACAATTCCTATTGCTTTTGAAAGCCAATAGAATTAGACTCTATTCAAGAGAGTCTATTCTATTGGCTTTCAAAAGCCAATATCACATAGTGGTTCTCACCTTTTTAATGCCGCGACCCCCCAACCGGTTGTAAGTCGAGGACTACTCAACTGGTCGTAAGTCGAGGACTACTCAACTGGTGCAGCACCGTTTGCAGAATGGGACTTTTGGCGGGCTCAGCAGGGCAGAGACAGCCTGGACAATTCCTATTGGCTTATGAAAGCCAATAGAATTAGACTCTATTCAAGAGAGTCTATTCTATTGGCTTTCAAAAGCCAATAAAATAGTGGTTCTCAACCTTTTTAATGCCGCGACCCCCAACCGGTTGTAAGTCGAGGACTATTCAACTGTCGTAAGTTGAGGACTACTCAACTGTGCAGCACCGTTTGCAGAATGGGACTTTTGGCGGGCTCAGCAGGGCAGAGACAGCCTGGACAATTCCTATTGGCTTTTGAAAGCCAATAGAATTAGACTCTATTCAAGAGAGTCTATTCTATTGGCTTTCAAAAGCCAATAGAATAAAAGGGAGTAGCACAGCTAAGGAAAAGGGGGAAAAATGGCGGACTGCGTTGTTTGGCGACCCCCGTGAAATGGTTGTT